ACTTCACTAGAGGCCCGGTGCATGAAAATTCATACACTGGAGCGGGGGTCCCTCAGCCTGGCCTGCCCCCTCTCACAGTCTGGGAGCCGTCAGGGGCAGGAGGCAACCGGCAATCAGGGAAAGGCGACGCCCCATCACACCTCTGCTGCTGCCACTGCTGGCAGCACAAGCCTCGGCCGGCCCTGGTTACCTGAGCCTCGGGCGGCCCTGGGCAGCTGGGGGACTGAGGGGACTGGGGGACTCCAGAGGCAGGCTCGTGGCAAGGCAGGGCTGAGGGGACTGGCTGCCGCCATCTTGTGGCTGTTGGTACCACCATCTTTGAGGGGGTGGCAATCAATTAGCATATTCCCTCCTTATTAGCTGTGGGTGCTGCCATCTTTGAGGGCAGGGGAGTCAATTAGCATATTTTCTCCTTATTGGTTGTGGGCATGTCTATCTTTGTGATGGTGTGAGGGTCAATTAGCATATACCCTCTTTATTAGATAGGATGTTCACCTTTGAATATATACCTCACTTTATGGGACTTTGTTCAGAGGTGATGCTCAGTAAGTACTTGTTAAAGAATGCACATGCATTCTTTATTGCTGCAGTGCTTTTCTAGAATAATAAATATGCTAATCTTATAAACTGAACTTTCAGTTTCATTTGAGGACTTAAGCTTCTACATCCATTTTGGATTTATTTTTCAATATTTGGAATAGAAAGAGGAGAGAAGACAGTGTGTTTTCCATATTGATAGATCTCATTTGTCTCATAAATTTCTAATGGGACTCAATTCCTTGATTTTTTTATGACTTTCTTTTTTTAACTATTAGAAAAAGATGACATAGAAATCTATGTACAAAGAGAAGAAAGCAAAAAGCAAGGTAAAAATGAAAAGGAGCTAAAAAAAATAAAAGGAGAGGAAGAAAAAATACAAACAAGATCAGCAGGTTTTTCTATACTTATAAACCCATTTTAAAAAAGCTGAATTCAAATAAAAATATTTTTAAAGAAAAATAGACCGTCCAATTTGAATATAAAAATTTTGATAGTAATTGGTTTTTAAAATTTTAATCTTATACTTAATTTCCTAACACAGACATACAAGGAAAAAACATAACAGAGAAAAAAATGAGAAAGAAAATTTTAACAAAAAGTAGACAAGGAAGAAAATGAAATAAGGGAAGATTTTATGAGAAAACAAAAAGTAAAATATGAGTGTTTCAAAAAGCACACTTATATTTCTAACTAGAAGCCTAGTACATGAAATTTGTGTACAGGAAGGGGGGGTCCCTCAGCCCAGCCTGCACCCTCTTGAAATCCGGGACCCCTCGGGGAGTGTCCGACTGCTGGATATAGAAGCCTAAACCCTCAAATGAACTGAAACCGGCAGTTGGACATCCCTCTCTCAATCTGGGACCTCTGGCTCCTAACTGCTCGCCTGCCTGCCTGCCTGCCTGATCGCCCCTAACTGCTTGTCTGCCTGCCTGATTGTCCCTAACCATCTCTGCTTGCCTGCCTACTAGCCCCTAACCACTCTGCCTGACTGCCTGATGCCCCTAACTGCCTCTGCCTCGGCCCCCACACCTGGGACCCAGGCCTCCCTCCTCCAGCTGGCCGCAAGCAACCAGGACCTGGGCTTCCCTCTCTCTGGCCAACTGCAGGCACCCAGGACCTGGGCCGGCCACAGGCACCTGGGATCCAGGCACCTGGGACCCAGGCCAGCTTCACCTGGGCTGGCTGCAGGCACCCAGGACCCCGAGCGGTGCCGCCAGGGCCCTGGCTTTGTCAGGAAAGATGTCCGGAATGACGTCAGGAAGACGTCCAGTCTATACGGTCAAATTAGCATATTACCCTTTTATTAGTATAGATGGATCCCAAGTCCTTTCATATAACATGTAGATCTATTAAATAACACTTGAATAGCTTAAGACAAGTATTTCCTTGTAGAATATGAGTTAGACATTAAGGGAATAAAAATTACTTTGTTTTACTGATCATGAGGTAAATGAAAATATACTTATTTATAGATTGAATTTCATTTAGTTCTTTATTGTTGGCTTGAAAAATCACAGAGGGTCGGGGGGGTGGGGAAAGTCCAAGTAATGTCATTCAGAGTATTTGGCCTTCACACTTATTATCAAGAAGATGAACACAGAATGGTTAAGAGCACTGAATCCAGAGGTCTAGGCTAGCTCAGTTTGAATCTGACTCCCTGCTTTCACTGTGTGACCTTGGATTTCTGTTCCCCCAGAAGCAGACTCTGAGACAAGCACTCAAGGTAAATGGTCTACCTGGGAAGGAATCCCAAGAAACACTGACTGGGGACTGAAGAGGTGAGAAAAGGAAAAAGCAGTATGGTGTCAAGCCAGTCTTCAGAGGGAGAATGGAGCTCTGTACTATAGGGGAACTCGAGTCTGTGTAAAACACAAGTTAGAATTGACCCAACTGAGGAAGCTGGATTTTATATTTTTGTTTTTTTAAATTGCCCATTTCCTATCTTTCCTTGGTTGTGGGCTGCTTCCTGGGGCATTAACTCATGGCACTGAGCATGCTCCTGTGGCTCCTCAGACAGAAAGTGGCAGGGTTTGCAGTATGCAGTGCTAGCTTCCACTGCAAATGATGTATTTGAAAGTTATCATAACACCAGTGTGATCTTTCTAAACTGAATTAACAAAATATGAGATTTTGATGAACAAAAATTCAATATAATAAATATTAGGATAAGTGTTTAGATAACTGCAACAATATTTACACTGGAAACAGACTTCATTTGGTCATTTTGGACTCTTCATGCCACCAGGATATCAGGTGTTTGAAGGGGATAATTGATCCTACCATTAACCTCTGTTTTTGATTGAACAATGGTTATGTTATATTACGCAGTAGGATTCCTCTCTCCAACCTCCCTCAATTTGGAAATATAAACCTCTATTTGAGCAGGTGGAGAAGAGAACTGTAAAGAGATGGCAGGTGACAGTGGAGAATCCTTCATTATCACCAAAGATGTCGAAAGAATGTTTGCGTTCCCTCTGGCTCAAGTGAACTCCAAAGGAGGAAGCTGGGCTTCAGCCTCTTGCTGGAGCCCCATTCCAGAGGGCTGAGCACTAGGAGCAAATATTAAAGGAGCAAGAAGCTATGGCATGTGCTGCAGGAGGCATCACTGAGGAGTCCCTGAAGGGAGCTGGAACAAGTTACACTCATCAAGGAGCTGAACATATACAATGGCCTGTAACACTGGGCCCCTCAGAAAGCCAGCATTTGGATGCAACCATACAGAGAACTCTGAAGACATTTTCCTCCTTCCCTTCTGTGTCTGCCCCTCAAACTGCTGTAGCAGAAAGGGATCTAGAAGAGGGCAGAGAAGGGGAGCAAAGAGTACATCAAGCTCCCTTTACCCCTCAGGTCCTTGGGCCTGATCACGCCAGTTTAGGGATGATGAGGTTGGTAGGGATATGTTTCCACAGAGCATGACTGAAGGTAGTTATTGGAGAAAATGCAAAGCTGTTTCATATCTATGTCTTGCAAATTTTAACTATGCCCCTCCCCACCGAAAGACATACTCAATAAAGCCAGAAAAGTAGAGTAAAATAGAAAAAGGGAGACCAAGTCTGAAATAAAGTTATGTTAAATTGGATGGTTCCAGGGATTGCAGATCCTCTTATCTGCCACCATCCGTTTTTAATGTTGCCATACAATACATAGTATAAAAATAAATACATGTGCCAAATCCCATATATCAAAATTGATATATATGCAGTTTTTTGGTGTGACTCTATGCTAAAACATAGGCTGTATACATGTGTGTATATATACTATAAATGCATACCTATAAAAACAAAGCACAGTTTTATATTCTTAGATACTCTGGGAATAAAGCTATAATACTATTTGTATGATATATTAGAATTGCATTGATATTTATAGAGTTCAGAAAAACTTGAAAGATCATGGATTCAGGGGTAATGTTCTGAATATTTCTGTATTTCTTGATAAGCTCTCATGAACTCAGCTTATTCTTCCTTTCTGGAACCATCCCAAGATGTAGGCTAGGTTTGCATATCATATGAAGAAAAAAAAAGAGCATTTAAGTGGACACTATCAGAAAGCACCAAGTGTTAAAGACAGGCCAAACACCTACATAGCACTTACCTTGGCATTATCGTTGATGTAGTTAGAAAAGTTAAATATCTGTGGAAAAAATAAGTCTGGAGCATTTTCATCATAGGAAAGAAAATCTATTCTTTCTTTTCTGAGGATCTCTCATGAATGAAAACCATATCCTTTTATTTATATTTATGATTTCTGTGGTGTGATTTATTATGTTCTAGAGTTTGAGTCTGCATTTGGGTCTTTTTGACTCATACTGACATTTTCAATAATCTCTCAGAAATGCCAGATCATAAATGCACATAATTGCCAAAATATAATCAATCACAAAGCAACTTGAAATAAAGGTTAACAGTAATATCCTAGAAGCTTATGAGGTGGGAACTTTGCCATGTGAAACAGATTTGAGTTTTAAGTAAAATACTTACCTCTTGGCCCATTTCAAAGTAAAAGTTGAAAACTTTTCTCGTATAAAATTAGGATAAGATTAGATTTCCCTTCTGGAAACACTAAAGGAGGAGATTTTACATTTGAAGTCAGGATTTGGGGAATTATAACTTTTGAGAAGTTGCCAAAACCAACAAACACTGAATCTTTTATACTAAATTGAAGAGACTATCACAGCTATGGATATTCAAATCTAGGTTTTGCTAAATTTTTTGAAGTTAGTTAAGAAGAGTCAACCATTCAATACAGTTTTAGTATTTATCATACCCTACTAATATTAAAATTATTCATAAGATTATAACTTATGAATGCTAAAAATTTGGTAATTTTATATTAACCATATTCTCCATTCTTATAGCTTTAATTTATTATAGTAAAATTATTAATACTATTTATAATAATTCTTATGTTGAATTTTACCTAGGTGTTCATTTTATTTTCACACTCACTGTGTTACTTACTCTGTGAGGTTTGAGTGTCTATGAACTTCTTTATCAAGGCATCAGTCGTTTGGGTATAAAGATTGAGAGCATATCTCAGAGATTGAAGATCTGGGCTTTTCTCCAAGAAATTCTTTTTGAGGCCATTTCCACCAGCATGAAAGTATTGCTAAAAAGGAAATAAGTAATGTAAGCAAAGACATTTGGAATAAAACTAGAGGAGAGGTTTTATTGCTGTAATAATAAAGCCCAAATGGAATGATACAGTACATCCAATGTAAGGTAGTTACAAAGTGCTACCACATTCTCATTGCTAAGTCATCACCATCTAGTTCAGTTTCCCTCAATATCTCTGAAATGAGGCTCTACACCATGGACCCCAGATCCTCCAGGCTTAAGAGTTTTCCTCTCACTCAAAACTTTAAGCATATCAGATCATGAAGATGCAGAGGTCAGCAATCTATAGAATTACACATTTAGGTAATAATTGAGTTGGTTATTGGCTTCAGTTTTCAGAAGATGAGAAAAATGTCCAGGGTTAGCAAAATTTCACAAGGAAGGTAACTTAGTCACATAATTGCAGACACTAATTTGTCTTTCAAGGCCAGATACCTGCTAGTCCAACTTTCCCATCCTGTAATCATGCAATGGTGCAGATATAGGCCAATCTAAAGAGTCAGAGTGGACCTTAGAAAATCAACATCCCCTGAACCTTATACCTTATGTCTGATAAAATCAAATAGGGTTTGTTTGTTTTTTTTGTAATGCCATCCAACAAACTCAAAAACAGTATAGTTTAGGCAAGATAATATAGAAGCTGTAAGCTCTTTGACTATTAATATGGTCATCGAAAGATGTTAGCATTTGCCTGCTGCAAGTATTATGCATGATATCTTTTTGGAAAGCAGAATATGCAGAGATATGTAATAGAAATAAAAATGTTTTCCCCTAATCATTTACAGATGATAATACATACTATTTATAATATTCTGTAACTTAGGCAAGATAATATAGAAGCTGTAAGCTCTTTGACTATTAATATGGTCATCGAAAGATGTTAGCATTTGCCTGCTGCAAGTATTATGCATGATATCTTTTTGGAAAGCAGAATATGCAGAGATATGTAATAGAAATAAAAATGTTTTCCCCTAATCATTTACAGATGATAATACATACTATTTATAATAGTATGTATTATAAATAGTATGTATTACAGATGATAATACATACTATTTATTAATACATACTGTAATTGCTAGATAAATAGTTTGCTTTCTCTCTCTGTACCAACAATGCTAAACTTCACATTCATTGCAACATGGCTCACTATGGTCTGTGATCCCACAAAATGACATATTTTGAAAAAACTCAATAAATAATTTTGATACATGTTCTCAAATGAATGTGTGTCATCCCTCTATTCCATTCATAATTATCTCAATTTTCTCCCCTAATCAAGGGGAGATGTAAAAAAATATTCTGTGCATTTATAGGCATCTGAGTGCACTTTTAAACAATATAATGTAGAGAAGATACAGGGGATAGATCAGAGAAAGTAGGAATTGGGGATATAATCTCAAGAAAGATTGCTCCAGAGGACAACCAAGATGGTGGCATAGGTAAACACCTGTACTTGCTGCCTGTCACAATCACATCAAAACTACAACTAAAATACAAAACAAATATAATCCAGAACCATGGGAAAGCTGGCTGAGTGGAAGTTCTACAACTTGAAGGAAAGAAAAAAGCGCACTGAGACTGGTAGGAGGTGCGGAGGTGCAGAGATGCGGAGGTGTGCGCAAAACGGTCTGGCAACTGGGTGCGCTGTTGTTTTTTTCAATCAGGAGGAGATACAAGCTCCCGATTGCTCTGAACTCCAGTTCTGGGCGAGACTCTGGGGACACAGATTCATAAGGGGAGAAACTGGACTGCCTGGCATCGGGCCAGAACGCAAGGGCGGCTTTCTTTCAGAGGTGCTCACAGCAATCATTGTTCCTACATGGGGCTGCAAGACACAGAGACCTGGGGACCTTTCTGGTATAGGGCCAACTGGCAGCCATAGCTGTTTGTTTTGCCCTGGTGAGTCCCTGAGACCCCGCCCCACCCAATTTACAACACTACCCAAGCTGTGCGCATCGGCTTTTGCATATGAATGGCCTGTCCTTTTACAGCTTAAAACCTAACAAACTGCAGCTGGGTCAGAGAGCTCCAAAGCTTCCAAAAGAAGGCCCAAGGCCCAGCAGCAGCAGCCTGCCTTGCTTCACAGCTGGGCCTCATCTAGGCATTTCCAAACTCCAAACAAAGAGGAGGAATCTGAAGATCTCTCTGTAGCTCCTGCTGGGTGGCCTCAGGGAGTGGCTGACTTTGCACATCCTTGGAGATCCAAGAGCCAGTGTACCCATTGGTCAGTGTGAGACCATACCAGATTACAACTCTTCACATCCATAAGCGACACACTCAAGGGGCAGACTCAGTGAGCACCAAAGCCCCACTGAAGCAAGTCCTGCCCCATAAGGGTGTCTCCAGTACAGCAGTTCTTCCATTGTAGAAATAGCTGGTCCTCACAGCCAGTTGGCCTGGAGGTCAATTCCTCTCAGTGATACCAACAGCAATCAAGACTTAACTACAACAAGACTGTGCACACAGCCCACAAAGGGGTGCACCAAGAGTCTACCTCAGGTGATTGGGGAGGCTGAGCCACTGGCCCTATAGGACACCTAGCACACAAGGCACTCTATCAACACAGGGAAGCAGCCAAAATGCGGAGACAAAAAAGCATGTCACAAATGAAAGAAATGGAGGAAAGCAAACTACTGGATATAGAATTCAAAACCATGGTTATAAGGTTACTCAAGAATCTTCTAGAAACCTCCAAGAAATTTAGTGAGACCCTC